ATTTACTTGTAATTTTAAGGTGATCATTGAGTGGCTATAGTTATATATTTTTTTCAACTAGGTATATTTCGAAAGAGTATGCAAAAAAAAGTGTTTCCTTAAAGGTGAAGATTGGGCAGGTGAAGGAGCAATATTTTCACTATGTATGTTATATTTTAGGAGTGAATGCTTTTCTGTCAGAATATACTGTATTTAAAAATTGGAGATATATTTGTCAAGGAGTCCCACCACTAAGTATGAGTGGCCCCAGGTGATCTGATGTGCCTGGATCTCAAAGCCACTGTGAAATCACTTCTTCATAGGTTAAGGGGCAACCTCTGAAGCCAACCTGACCAAATTCAACCTCATCCACCACTCACTGACTAAGTGACTTTGAGCAAGCAAGTTAATCTCTACAACTTATAAGGTCAATGTTTGGATGAAATTCTTAGTTGTCTACTCCTGTTAATGAAACCTAAAAGTCAGTGTCTGTGGAGTTGTCAGGCCAAATTTGTTCTAGGAAAGCTGTCTAATTGCACCCAAATCCTACATGAATATATGTTTATCTCTTGCTATAAAAATGAAATTTCTACTTCAAATGTTATTTGAAGAAGATTAGGCAGGAGGCATGGCTCAAGTGATAGAGTGCTAGATGCCTAAGACCCTGAGTTCAAACTCCAGAACCAACAGAAAAAGTTATTTGATGAACAGTACCTCAATCTTAATTGACAATGATATCTTAAGCCATCAATGTGCATAAGAGAATTCATGGAAAATGAGATCAAACATTTTTATTTTCCAACAAATTCACATTAAAAGATAGATCCTGGCGTGGGAGGGCATGTCTGTAATCTCAGCACTTAGGAGGCTGAGGCAGGAGGATCTGAATTTTCAGGCCAACCAGATCTATATAGTGAGATGCTGTCTCAAAAAAACAAGCAATCCCCCCTAAAAAATACCCTAAAATAAAGCATGGCTTAAATACTCAAGAATGATTTTAAAGATCACCAAATGGTATTTCCTAAGATGATTTAACACCATGGAAAGTTGCTTAAAATATATTATTATGTGAAGACCCATGATTACCCAGACATAGATATGATAAAATACACATAAAAATCACAGAATTGAAAAGTCACCTCTGCAGCCATGCACAATTCAGTGGCATTCATCTTGTCACTGTGTTGTGCAATCTTCACTTCTATTTGGCCCCAGGTCATTTTCATCATCCCATGAGGAAACCCCACACCCATTAAGCCGGACTCCTTTCATTCTCACCTCCCACAACCCTTAGCAACCACCAGTCTGCTTTCTGTCTCTATGGATTTACCTCTTCTAAACGTTTCACATACGAACCATACAACATGTGACATTTTAGGTCCAGCTTCTTTCACAGAGTGTAATGTCGTCACAGTTCAGCCATGGTGTAGCATGTATCAGTATTTCATTCCTTTTTATGGCTGATGTATATTCTATTGCATTGAAATGTGGATACACCACATTCACTTAATCATTAACCTGTAAATGCAATTGTGAACAGGCTTCCATGAACATTTGTGTGCAAGTTGATATTCAAACCCGGTTTTCATTTGTGTTGAATACATACCACATCCTCACCAACACTTGTTACTTCCTCTTTTTACATTCCTTTTTTTCAGTACTGGGGTTTGAACTCTGGGCCTCACACTTGCTAGGCAGGATCTCTATCACTTGAGTCCCTCCACCAGCCCTCTTTCTTTCTTACTTTTTTTGTGGTACTGGGGATTGAACTCGGAGCCTTTTTCTTGGTAGGCAGGTGCTCTACCTCGAGCCATGACCCTAGTCCTTTGCTTTTACCTTGTTTTTTCATATAGTCTCGTGTTAACTTTGCTCATGAGTGTCTCAACCTGTGAGATTGCAGGCATGAGCCAACACGCCCATAATTTTAACCACTTTAGTGGAGGTAAAGTGGCTTCAGATCACTGTATTGATTTGCATCAAGTTAATGATGAATGATCTCTAGCAGCCAGCAGCTTTTTGTGTGCTTATAGCCAGTAAAATAAGATCCCTAAACAGAAACTTGCATGTAAAAGCAATACATTTAGTTCTAAATAAAAATTTACATGTAAAATAATGACATATAAATATGTATGAGAAAACAGTAACAGTGATTATTAACACATTGAGACTATAGATGATTTTTTCCCTTACTTTGTTACTTCTAGTTTCTTCTGTGAATGTGTCTTTGAATAAGAAAATCATTTGAAGTAAGAAAACTAGAGGCAGAGAAAAACAAATGTGACTTTCAGCTTAGACATTACTAAATGTTTATTCATCTACTTTTGCAAGTATTTTGTATGTTTATTTAACTGTACTGCCGGGGATGAAACCAGGGCCTTGAGCCTGTTAGGCAAAGGTCTATCACTGGGTTACATCCCCAGGCCTGCAGTGTTCCTTTCTTATTCTACCGCTGGTAATCATCCCAGGTCCTGAATCTGGAGCCTCCTCAAAGACGCTCAGGTCTTGGATTCTGTGCCCTGACAGAGACCCCTATTGAGGAAAGTTCAGGCAGCTTCTGTCCGTGGTACTGAAGAGGTCACAGGAGCCCTGCTACCCAAGCCAGGATAGTCACTCCATCACCTAATTCTTAGTAGTGAAAACCCAGGTTAGTTCCACTCCCTGGAACATCTAGGTGAGAATGAGGAACTCGTTGTATTTCAATTTTTTTCAGTTCTAAAGTCAGACCAGCTTCAGACAAGCTTCTAATTTCTAAGGAGTGACTGTGCATATTTTAAATTTACTGAACATTCTAAGAAATCCTCTTCAACAGAAGGTTGCCAAGGTCTCTAAAACTTAAAATTGTCTTGTGAAATTTTAAAATATTTCAAAATTTAAAATGTGATGCAAATGGAAGGGAAAAGGGAGGAAATTGATTTTTATAAACATGAATAATTGATGGATATTGGCTCACCTATGTTGTATTTAAGGGCTTGCTCAATATTCAAAACATCCTAAAGAGGGGAGTAGGATTAGACAGTATGAAATTGAGGTTGAATGTGATAAAAAGAGTCTCCCGAGATAAACAGCTAAGAAGTTGCCAACTGGGATTCTGACCTGGACAGGACAACTCCAAGCTGGTGTGCATTGTCTTAGTCCATTTGGGTTGGTGTAACAAATATCTCAGATTGGGCCACTTAGAAAGAACAGATTGTTTGTGCTCGAAGTTCTGCATGCTGGAAAGGCCAAGGTACTGGCAGATTTGATGTCTGGTGGAGGTCTGTTCCTCAGAGATGGTGCCTCCTCGATGTCCTCACATAGCAGAAGGGGAAGGGAAACAGACACTGACCTCTTTCATAAAAGGGCACAAACCTCTTACCTGAGGGACCAAATCAATTCCCCAAAGTCCACCTCTTAATGACACTGTACTGGGGACATTTCAGAGTGTGAACTGGGGTTGTGAAACAACTTTCAGACCATAGCACAGCTCCAGTGCACTCTGACCCCACTGTTTCTGGCTATCTGCCCTATCACCCATAAAGAGCAATTCTTGTCCTCAAGGTCCAAGATGAAGTTCCAGCAACATCATCAATATGCAAGTTCTAGGAAGGAAGAATGGAAAAGGCTGAACAGAAAGAGTGGCCCAGTGTCTGATTCAAGAAGGCTAACAAAATCATCATGCAATGTTTGTTTTCTGCACATTGGACAAGACACAGTCACTTAACCCATCTACCTTCCAGAAAAACACTGCCAGCTCGGAAAATACATTTAACATAACCTTCCATCAGCAAGGTTCTAAGGACTCCTCTCTACAGGAACTGTTCTACAGGAATGAATATTCTACGAATATTCATTCAAACAGGAAAGATGATATCCAGGCAAAGACACCAGTGACACAGAGAATGAATGTATGAGTGAAAAATGAGCAAACGTGGCAGGCAAATAAGTAATACAGATACTGCAAAGATCAGACACAATATAAAACACCCAAGGCTGCCCCCAAAAGATGTTATACAATGTGTGGTCTCAGCAACCCAGAAAACTGAAGCCCAGGATTTTGAGACTGCTTGGGCTAAATAGCAAGACTCCAATTCAAAAGCAAGGACAAATTTAATTTGGTAACAACAAAAATGGTGAAGGAATGGTGAGGTGAGAAAAGAAGGGTATATTAGGAGATCTGATTGGAGGTTAGAGTGGGGAAAAACATAGTGCGACTCAGGGTTTGGCTCTGTGACACAAAATCTCAGCCCCACCCCTAATCCTGGTCCCTCTCTGGACAAACATGTCCCATGGTTCCCTATTGCCAAGATATTAACTCCAAGCTTTGAAGGGAGTGGGGAGAAATGCACAAACAGCATGGTGGCCTTGTTGTTAGCTAGAAGCAGTCAGGCTCTTGGGCTCAGAGATACCAGTCTTGGCTCCCTTTGTCTCCACTAAATCTAGGATCCCAGCAGTCCCCCAGCGCCAACGTTGGTGCTCAGTCAGGCTCAGACACAGTTTTATTTCTAGAAATCTACATGGTGGGTAGGTATCATAAGGAAACACAGGTGACCACACAGTCTTATCCCTGGAAATCTGCATGGTGGGTGGGTGGGATCAGGGGGTCCCAAAACAGACACAGGTGACAGCACAATCTTATCCCTGGCAATCTCAATGGCAGGGAGTACCTACAGTCAGGGGTCCCAGGGAAGACACAGGTGACACCACAGTTTTATTAAAAAGATTCTGCATGATTGGTGGTTGGGTACAGTCAAGGGTCCCAGGGCAGACACACATAGGTGACAGTTTTATTCCTGGGAATCTGCATGGAGGGTAGGTGGGGTTTGAGGTCCGAGGGCAGACACAGGTGACAGCACTGTCTTATCCCAGGGAATCTGCATGGTGGGTGGGTGGGTGGAGTCAGGGGTCCCAGGGCAGGCACAGGTGAGAGTGCACTATTATCCCTGGGAATCTGCATGGTGGGTGGGTGGGGTTTGAGGTCGGAGGGCAGACGCAGGTGACAGCGTGGTCTTATCCCTGGGAAGCTGCATGGTGGGTGGGTGCCCACGGTCGGGTCCCGCAGGCTGTGGTCACCGAGCGCCCGCGCGCAGCGGCTCCACCCGCAGCCACAGCCCGCCCTCTGCGCGCAGGATCAGCTCAGGCTTCCTGCGCGGCTCCGCGTGGTCGGGCAGCACGCGGAAGCGCAGCAGCGTCAGCGCCAGCGCCACCTTCATCTCGCTCATGGCGAACGTCTGTCCGATGCAGTTCCTAAGGGCGGGTGGGGATGATGACTGCCAGGTAACCCACACGGGGCCCCAAGGCACCGACCCTATCCGGGGACCCCGCCCCACCTGGCCAGCCGGAGGGCTGGGAAGGCCTAACGTGCTGGGACCCCGTGTGGGCTTCTATGTCATCAAGCATGGCGCAGACCCCAGACTCCAATTCAGAGCAGCAGGCGGGGAGGAGCTCTGAGCGCCCCACAAGCCGCTCTGGTCCTACCTGGCCTCATCCTCCAAACTTTTCCACGAGACCCGCACAGGTGGGGAGTATAGGACACCTGGGACTCTGACCATTCCAACGCCCACCACCCATGATCCACTGTCACCCCAGACCCCCGCCCCATCACCACAACCCCACCACATCCCCCTGGTCTCACCTGGGCCCCGCCGAGAAGGGAATAAAAGCCAAAGGTGACCTGTCCTTGATGTTTTCTGGGTCAAAGCGGAAGGGGTCATAGACCTGCAGGAGAAAAAGGGACAAGGCTGCAGGGTGGGGTCTCCAGCACAGCCAGGGAGATAAGTGTGCTTATGCTGGGGGAAGATGAGGTCTGATTTTCAAAATCTGCCCTCTTTCTTAGATCTCAGGGGCTGAACCACAATTTCGGAGGGGAGATAGGAAGCACCTCAGGATCTGGCCACACTGCTGGGTTGTGATGGGTCCCAAAAATACTGATGGCACAGGTAACACCTGTGGGAGAGAACGGGAATGGCAAGACAAGGCCTGACTGCCTGATGAAATTCACTTGCTCCACTGGAGGGCCCCCACTCCGAGGCTGTGGTACCTTTGGGGATGACCGCGCCATCTGGGAGCATCACGTCCTGTGTGCAGCGGCGGGTGATGAATACAACCGGTGGATGCAGGCGCAGACTCTCCTTGATGCACATGGTCAGGAATGGCAACTGGGCCAGGTCGTCCCTAAGGAAATCCAGCACCTTAACAATTATCAAAGGAGAAAAGCACAGGCTACTGGCCCCTATGTTGCCCAATGAACGCACTTGTCCCTCTACTAAAATAAGCCTCAGATGGATAAAATACGTGCAAATTAGAAAAGCAGAAAATAGAAAGTGTCCTTTTAGTGGCCCAACCTGAGACTGTTCTTCCCCTTAATTGGGAGTTCCTGGAAGGCAGGTCCCTGGGCTGGGTCGTTCCCAGGCCTCTAGAGCACAGAATGGGGTTGGGCACTGAATTGGGAATCAGAGGGCACTGTGGAAGTATTTGCTGGATGAGGCTTGGCTGGCTGGCTGGCTGGCTGATGTAGGATCAGGACCACAGAAACAAGATTTTTACTCCCTGGTGTCCCCTGTGCATCGACTAGGGTTGGAACTCAGTTTCAGGAGGAAAATAAAACATTCCCAGGAAAAGGTGTTTGATAAAATGATCTTTGAGAGAAGAGGATTGGAGAAGAAGGGAAGTTTGTATATTGAGCACATGCAAAGTGGCATTATCTGCCCTCATATTGTCATCTTGTCACTAATTCTCTTTCTGTCCCAAAGTCTACAACACCCCCCTTGCTGGTCAGCCTGGTAACCGGGGCCTGCCTCTGAACTTCATTCCTATTGCCACCAAACAATAAAGGAAAACTTTACAAAAACAGCTTTTCTTTCCCACCTGGGAGCAGAGTCAATGAGAGGGGTAGGGAACAGGCGGCCAGGACCTGCACTCACCATTCAATGTCTTTAGGGTCCCGGTCCCTCAGGAGCTCCCTCACCTCCTGTCGGCAGCGCTCCTGGTATTCTGGGTGTTTTGCCAGGTTGTATAGGACCCAGGAGAGACCACTGGCTGTGGTGTCATGGCCTGAGGGGCAGCCAGGCAAGCATGGGTGTCAGCCCTGCTCAGCACCCAGGTATTGAAGCCCATAGGCAGTAGGGGGAAAGGAGATCATAGACAGAATGGAGTCATCTAGTCCCTGAGATGGAGAGACCTATTTGCCTCTCTAGTCCAACACTTGGACCCTCACCCTCAAACATGAAGGTGTCAGCCTCTGCTCGTATGTCCTCATCTGACAGCATCTTCCCATCTTCATCCTGGAGAGAAGGCAAGACTCTTGATATAACCTGAGAAAATCTCTGATGATCCACCTTCCAAACAGAAACATAAACCTCCCATTTCTTTCCACCTTTTCTAGTCGCCATAATCAGAGACGCTACCCCACAGTCATCGTCACCTGGCTGACTTCCCTCCTGTTTTGTCCCTTGTTGTAGAAGTCAGTGACCCTTGAAAGTGATCGTGTTTCTACAAGGTGAGGGATTCCTGATGTGGAAGTTACTGGCAACCAGAGTTACAGGATGACTAAAGGGCAATTTCTCTTGGAAGATAAGATTAATCATTTCTCCAAGATATTGGCTCACATTCTCAAGTGCTCAATACAGAGAATCTCCCTTATCTCATCTGAAGGCATTTGCTTTGCAAACAGACTTTACCTTTGCACTGGAGAGAACTTGTTTACACTCCAGAACAAAATCCCCTGTCTCCCTCTTCTATCCCTCTCCATTTTCCTCTCTCTCTCTCTCTCCCTCTGTTTCTCTCCCTGGAGGCAAGAAGACACAGATATGCCAGCTTTTCTATATAAGCTCCAAGACTTATAATGTGCAGGTGTTACTTCTGTAGAGTAAACCCTGCTGCACCTACAAGAAAAAACATGGCATTTCCTGGAGAATGGGGAGTTGGGAATAGGAAGACATTGCTACAATCCTACCCTGGGTGCTATTATTACTGTGAGTAGCCAGAAGGTTGCTATGGAGTTTATGGAGATTATGGAGTTTGGTCAGCTTTTAACATACATGTTGATCCATATAAACTGCCATGTACTAACTTATAACTTGTAAACAGAGTGACTTCTCAGGCTCTTCAGAGTTTCAGACTTACCAGTCCCTGTGCTCTGTATTCCAGAGTCACAACTAAAATCTATCACTGGAATGTCTCACCTTTCTTTAGCATCTTCCATGTTGCCTCAGAGCCCTTTGTATCAAGCCCAAGCTATCTGACTTGACATTCGACCTCAAAATCCATTCTATCTCTGGAGAGGCCCACCTTGGTCAGTAGCAGCACATCAATGAAGTCCAATGTCTTGGACTTGGCCTTGGCCAGGAGGAAGTCATCAACATCCTGATCTGGGAGAGTTTGGCGTCGCTCCTGGATGACAGCGCCTGTGAAGTCATGCACCAGGCGACAGGCTTTGCGGAAGTGCTGCCCATCAGGGGTGAGGTGGTACAGGAAGTCCATATACATAAGCAAGTTGTGGCCCCTTCTTGTCACTAGGGCACTGAGATCCAAGATGGTGGCAATGTATTCACTGGGCTTCCTGCAGGACAAGGACATAAAAGGTGGCAACCATTTAACATCCCTGAAGCCCAAGGAGATCTCACAGAGCAGCTGGGAGCCACCTCCGATAAGGAGAAGGAGCATCTAGAAACAGATGGTTCCTTCAAGAGTACAGGGTGTACATCAGACTCCTCTCCTACTGAGCATCCAGTCCTGACCACCTCTTGATATTGAGACCCTAGACCCTTTCTCTTCTCTCCTCTCTCTCTCTCTCTCTCCCTTGCCATGGGTCCAAAAGCAACAGATTTAACAGACCATAGACTGAAGCCTCCAAAACTAAACTATGAGCTAAAAAAACCCTTTCATCTTTTTAAGTTGATTATATTGGGTATTTTTTAACATGGTAAGGGAAACTGACTAACAAAAGTTCAAACACTTCAAGAGTTCCCTGAAAACCTCAATGAGAAGTTTACACTTTGCCTGGTTTTCAATGTCCTGAAAACAGTGAATGCCTACCCCACCAAGCTCATTTCCAAGGTGCCTCATTAATGCCTTTCACACATCATTGGCTCATTTGTGCCCCCATACTTTTACTCAAATGATTCCACCTACCTAGAAGGACCACTCTCACTCTACCCTTCCCTGTCTTTCAAGGCAAGTTCCAACTCACCTCCTCCAGGAAATCACTCAGATCCCTTGGGCCAGACCTCTTTCCCTCACCTCCTCCTATTGGTCCATGGCCCAGGTTCTCAATTTGAGGGCAAGAACTCACTCCTGACAGTTACTTTCGAAGCCGAAGATGCATTTCTGGAGACTGTCCAAGGTCATGAGGCTGATATGTTCAAACATGTCCAGACGGTTTTTGCCCTCTGAGATCAGACGCTGCCACTTGGCCTGGCCAGAGAAGGATTGGGTCTAGGTCTTGGCCTCTGAGCCTCTCTCCAACCCCAACAACCAGGATAGAATGCCCAGAACCAGCCTCCTGGTATCTCCTTGTCCTCTGCCCCAGATACCTGACCCTAAGCATAATCAGGCTTGGGAGGGAGTGGAAGCTGTTACTATAGCAGATGAAAACCCAAGGCTGGGAGACATGAGTCCTACATTAGAGTCACAGCTCTGTCTCCCATGCCCTATTGGCACTCTGTCAGCTCTTTGCCTTCCCCCATGTCCCACCAGTCAAGTCTTCAGCAACAAGTAAGTTGATCTCCTTTAGTTTCAGATAAAGCAGAATGAAACCCTTGCTCTGCCATTCCTACCTTGCTTACTAGGTGCAAAAACATGTGCAAGGATCTCAGGTTCACCATCCATAATGGGGTAAAAAAGAAAATAACTTCTGAGGGATTGTGAAAATTATATTGAACAGCATAGACTATGGAATTGGCACATGGCATCTTTTCTGGCATGTGTTGACTGCTCAATCCATGTTAGTTGTCCTCATTTTCATTATATTAAATTGATTCAAAACATCCCATACATGCTCTGAGCATACCAAAAAATTCATGACCCTTAACTTAACTGGGCCATTTCTCAGAGTTGTGTTTTCAGAGAATAAAGGTGAGAGAGGAAGAATTGGTTACCTCTGACAAACATCATGCTTACTTTGCTTGATGTAAAAACAAATTCCCTAAACCTAAGACTATTCCCTGTAATGCATAAAGAGACATCAGCAGGCACCAACTGAAGTCCAGCATGTCAACCCTATTGTGTTTGTGTGATATGAAGAAAGGATGAAAACCAACAATATTTATATATTCCTTTCTGTGCCATGTGTAATTGACACCCCTAAGCTTCTGTCCCATTCTCATTTAATGAGAAAGCATTCATTTAATCATTTTGCATTAGGAAAAAAAATCTTCATCCAGAATTCTTATCTTCATCCTATACCCACACCCTGTGCAAGGTGATTTTCAATACCTACAATTAAGAATTTGAGCCCATTTTAGCCTCTTCCCCCAATTTGATTCTTTGCTGAACTTCAAACTTTGGCCAACACAATGTGGGGAAATTGATGAGGCCATAACAATTACACATAATATTCAAGAGGCATTTCAGCCTCCTCTCCCTCCCACAGGGCCCTCTCTCTGCCATGTGAATGACCAGAGAATGCCTTCTTAAGGGAGAGTTATAGGGGTACTAATAAATTTATTCCATCTGAGGTCAATCTAAATTAGCCGGAAGTTGGCCAAGCCCAAAGTATGTGAGAGAACTGAGCCAGGATCAGCCAAGCTACCCACATGACCCACAGCTCCTCATATCCCATGAGTGAGCTCATCCCAGAGGTCCAAAAGAACCAGTCAATGGACCTACAATCTTGTCAGCAATCATCAGCCCTTAAACCGTCAATGCAATGAGTTTGGAAGTGTCTTGTTCCTCAAAGATAGTTTCTATGCAACCTTCATCACCACTGAGTTCAGTTTACAAGGCTCTGTGAGAGAAATGTAGATACTAACTCCTGAGAACATACTTGTGCCAGAGACATGATTCCAATGTCTAATTAGGACCAACTTTCAGTTAGAGATTTTCATTCCCACTTTATAAATGAGAAAACTGGGGCTCATAGAGAAACAACATGGTCTTAAAGTAACCCATTTGATCCAAAACTGTAGATGAACTCTCTGTGGTCTCTTTGCCCCACCAAGCTTCAGCTGGGCCCTGAGTTCAAGGGACTCACATGCATGACATTTGTGCTGTCGTTGAAAATCTTCACATAGGGCTTCAAGATGTTGAAGTGGAAGGCTGGTGTCAGCAAGCGACGGTGACAGCTCCACTTGTCACTGGTGCTCAGCAAGAGCCCATCTCCTTGTAGGGCAGCCATGGGCATTAGGCAAGACAACACCTTCCCCTGACCCCAAGGCTGTCCCCACCCCTTTCACCTGCATTACTCACCCAGCCAGGGTTTCAAGAAGCTGTAGAACATCATGTCCTTGGGTGCCACAGCAACTGATGTGAAGGAGAGCTATCAGGGGCCATGAAAGGAATAAGGGTAGGGGCTGTGCAATGGGGCTCTGCACTTCTCCCTCCAAGCCCAGCATAGGAAGAAGGGGAACAAAGGCACAGGGAAGAACAGTGAGTCCAGGGGAAAGCGAGTCAGGCTGTAGCACCAAGTAGAGTCAAGAAACAGCCTGACATAGCACAACATGCATCACCATGCCTTGACCTGGCTCCCACATGGTCCACATGGTTTGCTCCACCAAGCACAGCACCACACTTACAGACCTTTACAGAGACCTAGGACACCCTATCCAGTCCAGCACTCTCTGACATCTCCTGAAATACACCTGGGACATGTGACATGGACACCTATGAGTTGCCATGTCAAGAGGTGGCCACGGCAAACATGACCTGTCCTGACAATCCACCATGTACTATGAAACAGTACAGAGGTAGGCTGACAGATGTCAGCATGCCCTACACACAGGGCCCAGATAGGATGTAAAAATAGTTTTATTCACTAGGTCTGGTGCTATATGTCTATAAGTCTAGCACTCAGGAGGCTAAGGTAGGAGGACCTCCAGTTTGAGGTCAGCCTGGGCTACATAATGAGACCCTGCTTCAAAAAACATGGTGCCACTCATTTTCCAGGTGTGTCCCAGATGCAACACCATGTGGCCACTGATGTCACCTATATGTATTTAATTCCAGCCTCAAACAAGACTCAAATAAAATCTCAGTCATATTCAGAGAATCTCTAGGTCCCAGATCTTAGGCAAGATTCAAGTAGGACCCAGATATGACCACCAGAGAAAAAGACAGTCACAAACTGATCATGAGACAAGAACCAGACAAAACTGGACATGCCCCAGATGTCCAAGCTGGAAAATGATCTGCACACATGACCTTCTTCATATGAGCCCAGGTGTTCACCTTCTGTAACCAGGTACAAAATATACCATGTGTAACCAGGACAGAGTTGCAACTGTAAATATGACAAGATGTGGCCTACTGCAGGTATGGTCCTCAGAAGACATCACATGGAATGTTTGAGACACAAACAGACATGGCCACAGGTGAGACAGAGGTAGGAGCATCACTTCCACAACCCTCCTGCCTGCCGTCAGGTCACCTGACCAGCTGGAGGCAGCTCAGTGACCTCAAGAGTGGACAGCTGGAGCAATTGCTGTGCCCATCTTGAGTGAAGAGCTCAGGTGTGATGGACCAAGGGTGAAAGAGGTGGATGACCACATGCCAGGGTCCCTCCCATCAGCATCACATGTCCCCAAAGATGCCTAGAAATCATGAGGCCCTGAGTTCAAAACTCTAGTACTACAAAAAAGAAAGAAAGGAATAGCTACCCAGATCCCCTCTCATTGCTCTGGGCTTGGGATGAGCATGAGTGATGCAATCATGGCAGAGCCTTGGGTACTGAGGATACCCCTGCTCCTGCTTTAAACAGTCTCAGTCATCGTTCCAGATGACCCTGCTTCTGTCTTCCCCTGTCCTCCACCCTTTGAATTCTGCTCATGTCTGATCTCGTAGAAACATTTCTTCTCCACTGAGCTAACACAGCCCGTGTTCCTCAACTCATTCCTCCATGCATGAGGTTGGGGATGTGTCTGTCTTGATCTACATCCTCAATATTGGGGGTTCCTCCAGAACAGGGCCTTGGACTGAGGTTTCCTAGGACCTCTGACATGCTCAGAACAGTGGGATCCAAGTGGATGTGAGGTGAGCAGCTGTGGAGAGTAAATGGAAGGAGAGCTGGTGAGAGATGGAGAAGACTGAGAGAGAAGAGAGAAGGAGGAGCCGGGCTACTGCAGGGGCCACACAGAAGGTGGGGTAGGGACTGCAAATAGATGTACCATGGTGCCCACCACCAGCTCCCCTTGGGTACCTGAAGCACTGAGGATAGGTCGGATGGTGTCAGGGTGGCACAAGGTGATGACAGGGATAATGGGACCCATCCATATCATAAAGCACTTGGGATAGGTGGTCACCAGCTGAGTCACTTTCTTCATGCCCTGCTCTGTGGGAGGGATCTGCAAACAAAACAAGAGTGGTCACTTCCTCTGATGTTTATTTCAGGTGTCAACCTGCCTGGGCCAAGGGACATTCCTTGGGATGTCTGGGTGTCTGTGACTGTGTTTCCAAAAGAGATGGGCATTTGCATCAGTAGAGTGAGTAGGAAGACCCACCCTCCACAGGTGGCATCGTCCAGACCATTGATGACTCAGAAAAAGCAAAAAGGCAGAGGAGGGACAAATTGGCTCTCATTTCTCAAGTTGAGACATCCATCTTCTCCTTCCCTCACACATCAGAATTCTGGTTGTTGAGACTTTGGACTCCAGGACTTACACCAGCAGCCCCTCCCTTCCCCCAGATGTCAGACCTTTGGTCTCACACTGAATTCATTGCATCGCCAGCTTCCCTGGTCCTCCAGCTTCCAGATGGCATCCTGTGGGACTTCTCTGTCTCCATAATTACAAAAGCCAGTGTCCATAAAAAATATATCCTCCCCTCTCTCCATATTTATGTTTATGTGTCTTGTGCAGACACATATGTACACATGCATATGTATTTATATATGCATGTGTACATAACTGCAAATATGGTCACGCTACTTAATGAAATTTCTGTCGAGGACACAACACACAATATGACCTTACCCATAAGAATACAACACGGTTAATTAAGGTGGGCATGGTGGTACCCACCTGTAATCACAGAACTTGGGATATGGAAACAGAGGATTGTGAGTTTGAAGCCAGACTGGACTACAAAGTGAGATCCTGCCAAGAAAGAAAGAAGGAAAGAAAGAAAAGAAAGGAAGGAAGGAAGGGAGGGTGGGAGGGGGGAGGGAGGGAGGGAAGGAGGAAGGAAGGAGAATTTAAAGAAAAAAAATTCTGTATATTTTTATATGATTAGATGCATTTATATACACAAATATCATAGTGTTACAATTTCCTACAACAGTAACTTACTGTGCAGGTTTGCATACAAGGAACAACAGGTAATACCAGTTAGCCTGGTATGCAGCAGGCTACAGCAGCTAAGTTTATATGACTATACTCTCTGACTGTTAGCTCAATGAAATCATCTCCCAAAGAATTTCTCAGAATGGGTCACCTAGCTAAGCAATTCATAACAACTCTTGCATGTGTGTGTAAGTGCATGTATGTGCATGTGTGTATATGTGTGTGCATGTGTATATACATGTGTGTGTCATTTTTGGTTCTGCTTCTCTAGGGAACCCTGACTAATATACTTTCCCAAGAGCTTTAGCAGGTCCTCCAGCCTCTGGAGGTGACACAGCCCCTACAGTATGTGTCTGGATTAGGCAAGGAGGCAGGAAATCTCTGCTTCCGCTTCCTCCTTTCCTTCCCTCTCAGAGCCATATTCAGTCCCAAGGGTGCATCCCAGGGCTGACAGAGAACCCATGCTGTCTTACCCTGAGATGCCCACCTTGGCTAGTGAAGATGGATTTTTTCCACTGGGGGAATTCTTCCAGCACTGGAGGCAGCCTCAGGAGAAAACCACCACAGGAGGATTTGTGGGCAGCAGTGTGGCCTCAGGACCTGTCCCTACAGCTCATCTCACTTCCTTTCATGTCTTGACACTTCACTCAGCCTCCATCCCTTCCTATGGAGAAGGACTAGAAAAGGGAATCTTACAGCCTTGCCAGATTCCAAGGGAGTAGAGGTGACCCCTTACTGTTCATCAGTGGGTCAGCTCCCACCAGAAGCACCTGCTGCCCACCAGGCTAAGATAGAGTTCCTGTGCCTGGTCTCACTGAACCTGTGCACATTCCAGTCAACTGTGCCTTTCGCAAGAAAGGCAACCAGGGATGCTACATCACCCAAAGAGGAAGCAGATCGAAATCCAAGGTTAAGGTGTGAGGTCAAGGATGGTTTCTGACACCCTATAACTTATTATTGTGATTAATGGATAAGAAACTGTGTATGAAACTTTACATATATAAAGTTTTATTTGGCCACAAAAAAGAATGAAACCATGCAGTTTGAAGGTAAATGGATGCAACTGGTGGACAAGATGTTAAGTGAAGTAACCCCGGTTCAGAAAGACAAAGCCTGAATGTTTTCTCTCATATGTGGAAGATATATCCAAAAGATAAACATATACACAAAAGCAAACATGATTGTACACACATCTCAGGTAGAATATGTTGGCAACAGTAGAACTACACTATGGAACTCAGGGGAAGAGGGAAAGGGAAAGAGAATAATAGTCAAAAATATTGAAATACCTCACATCTGTGCAGGCAGAGGACATACCAATATGTATTGAAAGCTGTTGAAAATGGGGGGTGGGAGGGAGGCATAAGGTTGAGTAGCAGAGGGGGTTGAACTGACCAAAGTAAAGCATGTTCACAGCTGGGATACATTGAGAAATCCCTTTGAACATTGGTGTTGGAATTAATAATGAAAGACAGGACTGTAAAACAGTCCTGTGCAGTGTGTGTGTGGGGGGGTACTGGTGTGAAGGTGGGAAGGTGAAAGGAGATGAAGAGGAAGGAATAGGGTTGATGGGCCATATATCCCTAAAGGAAATAGAACAACGAAACCTCTTGTAATTGCGTTAAGTGGGACAGGGAAGGGGTGGCAGAGGGGAGATGAAGAGAGCAATCTAACCAAAGCACAATGGAAAGCTATTCAGAATTGTCACAAAAATTCTCCCCTCTACTATGAATATATGCTAATAAAATGGAAAATAAATTATATATTAATTAATTGAAAAGGTATAAAAAAGGACAGTTTCTGAGAGGGTGTGAGAGGCTGGCTTTTATCTAGGTTGAGCAACAGGCTTCCCTAGCACATCTTAGGGGAGAAGAGCAAGATAAGAGGAAGGTGGCCAGGAAGGAGAAGAGGGAGACAGCCATGCCTCTCTTCTGGCCCAGCTGTGCCCTGAGTGCATGTGGTGGGGGAGGGAGATCAAAGATCATTCTGGTGGAAAACCAGAGGGCCAGAGATGGGAGGACACAAAGACATGGTCCAGGCAGAGAGCAGACCCTGGACAGCACCTCTCAGAAGGCCTGAAGCCCAGCAGTAGAGACTGTGGGACACCAGGAGTCCTCACTCTGGGTAGCCTACCTGGGGTCCCCCCATGGGTACACCAATGTAGGGAAGATAAGAAGGAAATGAACCCAATATAGACTAGGGGCAGGAGGACAGGGATGGGAGAAAGGCCTGGGATGGCACCACAAGGACCCCAGCCCACACCCTACCCACAACTCTCTGACCCCTCAGAAGTCCATCATCACTGACACCCTGGACCCACCCCGTTGTCAACTCACCATGTCCAGGTGACCCAAGAACCAGTTCCGTTTGGGGGGCTGAGGGAAACATTGCAGGCGACGAGAGTTTTCACAGCAGGCGTAGATCTGGGTCAGGACACGAGCCAGGAGCCAGGAGGCCCCAACCAGGAGCAGGAGCAGCCAAGGGGAGGCTGCCTCCAGCCCCAGTCCCAGCCAGGACAGGCTCAGCTGAGGCATCCTGCAAAGCAGATGGACAGAGTGAGCACCTGGGGCCCAAGACAGGGACAAGAATCTCCAGGGACACAGACTGGGCGGGTATTTGAGTTAGTTCTAGGGGAGGGAGGGCAGGGTGTGGAAGGGAGACCCAGAGTAATCAGGTGAAGAGGCAGTGAGAGGTGAGAAGAAAGAGGAATATGAAGAGGAGGTGGAATAGAGGAAGAGGAGGAGAAAGCAGAGGAGGAGGAGAAGGACAAACAGGAGAGAGATCAATTAAAGTCCAGATCTGCCTGAACCATAGGGAAGTTGCCAGGGACTATTTCCCATGAGCCACCAGTTTTCTGAGCCAGCTGGCTCCCAGGAGTGGCTCCAGCTTTGAGCAGTGCCCTCCCCATTCTAGGTGGGGATGTTCCAGCTCCACCTCCCCCACACCAGTACCTTCTCTCAGGATCAGCTTGTCCCCCACAATCTTTTCATTTCTCCTCTGGGAATTCCTTGTTTCTGACCCCTGATCTGCAGAGGCTGTGGGGAAAGGATGTGAGGTGGCTAGTCAATACACTGCAGGCCCTGCTGCCTCCTTCCTGCCTGGGCAGGCAGCCAGGACATGTGGGCAGGGTCAGCCCTTGCAGAGGAGAACCAATCAGGGCCACAAGCACAGGCAGGAAGCACCTCAGAATTCTGCACCTTCTGTTCAAGTCAGTGGCAAAGGTGACTCTGAGCCCCCAAGTTTACAGCAACCACTGCCCTTCCAAGGCCAACGGATGGCAGGTAAAAGCATGAAATGGGAGTTCTAGGGACAGGAGACCAGAGCTGGACCAAGCCTTGACCCAGAACATCTCCTGAGATCCTCTCCAAGCTGGGCTGAGAGTTCCTGGTACCCCCATTTCTCCTGCAGAATTAGGAGGCTCTGAGACTTGAGCCTCTGTCCACCAGTTGCTCAGCCTAGCAAGAGTTCAAGTCCTGCCTCTCGGCAGCCCAGGGCTCAGGTTGATACAAGAATTGCAGGAAGAGAGAGTCCAGGCTCCAGGGCATTTCCCAGGTCAAATACCATAAAGAGCCCAGCTGTAATAGCACATGTGGAGGCTGGCCTCTAGTAGAGATGAGAGGTAGAGGGAGGAAGAAGGTGGTGAGGCCCAGAGGAGTCCTGAGCAGAAGATGAGCAAGAGGGCAATGGGGTGTTGAAGGAGTGGCTCAAGTGTTAGAACGCCTGCCTAGCAAGAGGGCAATGGGGGATGGCGGAGCCAGGTGACCTAAGTGGAATCTCATTTGGCCCCATCCTTCTCTGACTGGGCAAAGCAGGACCTGCTGGGCTCAGTCTTCCTTTGTAGGAAATGGGATGTCTGATGAGGGCCTTAGAGGGAGACGGAGGAGGACTCTATAGAGAAGAAAGCCCCCAAAAAAGAGGGAGTGAAGGAAAGGTGCAGGAAATACTACTGGAGCTGCTATGAGCCAGGACTGTGCTCTGTGCAAAAGATGGTAGGGAAAGTTCTTCTACTGTGTGCTGGGTCCTCTCCATAAAACATGCCTACTGTGTGCCTCACAAAAAGCATGCAAAGGAATTGCAACTATGTACTGAGGGCTTTGTACTCTACATAAAGCCTGCCTTCTGTGTGCTGCCTGCTCCAATTCAAGTGTGCCTACTGAATACCACCTGTTCTAAATGAGTGTGTCTAATGTCTGTTCTACATAAAGTGTGCCTAATGTGCGTTGCCCTTTTTACATAAAGAATCCTACTATGTGCTGGATCCCCTACATAAATTGTGCCTGCTTTTTACCAGATGCTAACCCTCATCACAAGGTCCGCGTTTCCTGCCACCCTCTCCTCAGCTAGCTGGGCCAGAACCCTGGGGATTGGGTGGAGAGACCCAAAAAATGGCAGGGAAGGTGCCCATTTAGCAGAAAAGCAGACCGAGGCTCAGAGATGGTGAGACTTTGCCTAAATTGCAGAGCTCAAAGGAACCCAGGCCTGCAGGACTTTGAGCACAAAACTTCCCTCCTGCCAGGCTGCTTCCTCTACCCCATTTAGTGGGGATGTAGCCTTATTAAAACAGGGACATTTATACAGGTAGGATCTCAGGAGATGTGACTTCCCCAGAGAGGAAATATTTTGAGGCCCTTTAATCACCACCAAGCTCCTCCTCAAAACTCAAGACATGCCATGCAACAAATCACATGTTCCCCTCCTGGCCTCCTGAATCATGTCCAGAATTGTTTTGTGGGGTGGTCTCAGTGAGGGGACTTGAAAATCAGACTTCAGCAGAGGGGCTGAGAAGCAAACTCGAGAAGAGACAGTACTCCTGACAGTTTGTAGGATGTTAGGGACAACTTAAACTTCCCTCTACTCTAACTACCCCCTTCAACCCAGCTAGACAGGTCATCAGGTGGCTGGTCCTAGAGTCCTCAGTGGGATGGCATGTCCTCTCCTCTGTAATTCCCAGTACAGTCTCACATATACAGGCTTGAGAGACCAGATTCCTGGGAGCCTGCTGTTCCCACAATGTCCAGAAGAGAGAGCATCTTCCACCCGCATAAGAGGAACGGCCCCTCTCTACCCAATGACAGCAGTAGACCTGCCAGTTTTGAGAATTACACAAGCAGGTGTGGCAGAGTTTCCAGGACTCACAGACCCACATTCCCACTCTCTCTCTCCATTCATTCACCACTATGATCCTTGGTGGAATCTCAAAGCCTTTTTGGAGTGCAAGGGGAGGCATTTAACACCCTAAAAAGAGATGACTATGGAGCAGTTTGTTCCATCTTGAAGCAAAGAATGGAGCATGGACTTGTGAGAAACTGAGGCCAAGGGGTGGATGTTTGTGATTGAGAAAATGTCATTATTGGTAGTCCAATGGGACAGATACCTACCTGGTCAGTACACAAATCAATTCAAAGTCAAGTGTGGGTGGCTCACTCCTGTAATCCTAGCTACTCAGGAGACAGAGAACAGAAAGACTGTGGTTGGAAGCCAGTCCAGGCAAATAGTTTGTGAGACCCTATCTCAAAAAATCCCAATACAAAACAGGGCTGGTGGAGTGGCTCAGGTGGTACAGTGCCTGCCTAGCAAGCATGAGGTCCTGAGTTCAAACCCCAGGGTTCCAAGGATTCCTGTTCATAGAAAACTGTCTTAGTATCATTCTATACATATCCTTTCAAACAGGACAGGTGATACCCAGGCAAAGATGCCAGTAACACAAAGACAATGACTGAAGGAGTGAAAAATGAGCAAACATTACAGGCAATATAAGAAATACAGACACACAAAGATCAGACACTATAAGACAGCTAGAACATCCCCCAAAAAGATGTCACACACTGCATGGTCTCAGCAACCCAAAAAAACTGAAGTGGGATGATCCCTTAAGACCAGGAGTTTTAGACCGCTACAGAGCAAGAACCAGACTCAAAGGCAGCCCAACTCAAACAAACCTCCCTTGTTGTGTTTAATTAACATAGTAATTTAGTAACCACCAAAAGAGTGAAGAAAGGTGAGGTGAAAAAAGACTGGTATATTAGGAGATCAGTTTGGGAATTCATCTTTTAGTGTGGGGCATTGTAGTCACCAACAAGTAGTCAAACTCTTGGGTTTAGAGACATCACACTCCCCTCACCCATGCCCACCTTAGCATCCCAGCAGTTCCTCCAGCATCACCTGCTGGCCCTAAGGTTCAGACACAGGTGACAGCACAGTTTAATTCCTGAGAATCTGCATGGTGGGTGGGTGGAGTCAGGGCTGAAGACACAACTGACTGCACAGTCTTATCCTGGAAATCTTTATGGTTGGTGGGTAGGGGCAGGAGTCCCAGGGCAGACACAGGTGACCCAGCCATCAGGGAGTACTACGTCCTGGGTGCAGCAGCAGGTGATGAATATGACCACTGCAGAGAGCCAAAAACTCTCTTTGATGCACCTGGTCAGGAAAGGCAACTGGGCCAGGTTGTCCCTTAGGAAACCTCCACCCCTTAACAAGCATCCGGGAAGCAAAATAGAAGCCACCAGCTTCTGTGTTACCCAGTGAACATATTTCTCCCTGTTTTACTATGAGGCCCAGATGAATCAAGTATGTGAGAATTAAGTTTCTGAGGCCAATAGGAAAAGGGGACCAGGAACTAGAGAAAAGGTTAGATCAAAAAGAATTAACCTAGAAGGTAACACCCACACACAGGAAATCAATGTGAGTCAATGCCCTGTACTATCCTTATCTCAACCAGCAAAACCCCTTGTTCCTTCCTATTATTGCTTATACTCTCTCTACAACAAAATTAAGAGATAAGAGGCAAATAGTTCTGCTGGGTATTGAAGGGGGGGAGGGGAGGGGGGTGGAGGGTGGTAGGGCATGGGGTGGGGGCAGGGGGGAGAAATGAACCAAGCCTTGTATGCACATATGAATAATAAAAGAAAAAAGAAAAAAAAAAAAAAAAAAAAAAAAAAAAAAAAAAAGTATGTGAGAATTAGAAAAGTAGAGAATTAGGAAAATACTGCAGAACATTTAGCCAGGTATATTTAGAAGCTTAGTGTGAAATAAGCAAATGCAAGTGCTCACCATTTAAAAATTTTAAAACTTGCATAAAAATAAATATTCCTTATGCAAAAAAGCAAAATTCAAATGCAACAGAAAAAGAAACAGGTTAATAGATATATTTGCTTTCTTTATCACCCTATCTCTGTCACCTTCTCCTATCCTTCCTGACCTCTTCCTTCTCCATCTCTGTATACCTCTCTCTTCCCTACTTCTCCTCCCTCCTTTTGTTCCTCCTCCTTTCAGCTTCCTGCTCCTCCTTCTCCTTCTAATTCATCCCCACTCCTTGGACACAGGGCTGCTTTCTTGACCTATAGCACTGTTTCATAACTGTACATACATATCTACTGATTATCCTTTAAGGTCTCAGCTGAAACACTTTTCCTCTATCTTTGATTATCTTACTCTTAATTCCATCCCTGCCCATGTCCTGGGATTTTCCTGACCAGGGCCTGGGCTGTCCTTACATCAACCTAGGAGCACCTGGAAGGCAAGCCTTGGACTA